TTCAGGTTTTTGATGTTGGCGGTTTCTGTGCCTTCTAGAACCTGTTTCTGGAAACTTTGCCCATTGCCTTGCTCCTACCTCTGCTTGTGGGCCCTGCCCCACCTTCCACCCCAATCCCAGGTACCCGCTTCTTCTCAGCTTGTCTCTCTGGCTTTTGGCTCCTGACTGGCTTTGGCTGCTCTTCACTATTTGGAGTGACTTACCTTGTACTTCTGTTACCAGCCTCGACTGCTTGACTGTGATTTGGAATAGGCCCTTGCCATGTATGGGTTGTCTGGGGTCTGGTGCTCGGACCTGATACCCAGCTGCCCATACCCTGGACACTCTGGATCCTTTCTAACTTTCCTGTGCCTTTCTTAAATCTTGGACACAGTATTCCAGATGAGTTCTGACCAGTGAGGAGCTTAGGGGAGCTACTGCTTCTTGCGATTTGGTAGTAATACCTCTGCTAATTCATCCCAAAATAGCATTTGCCCTTTTTGCAGCTGCATTGCATTGTTGTCTCATCTTTAGCCTATTGCTCACAATTACGCTGAGATCTTCTGTTTCAGCTCTGTTGAGCCACATATTCCCCATCGTGTACCGATGCTTTTGGTTGCTTTTTTCCTGGGTGCAGGACTTGGCACTTGTCCTTCCTGAACCTCCTGTTGCTTTTAGCCCAGGGTGCAAGTTGACTGCCTCTGGGGTGGGAGAGCCCACTTGGTTGCGGCGTTGCTGTCTGAAGTTTCAGCTGGACTCCAGCTTTCAGCCCGGAAGCAGATCTTGCCACCTACCATTCTCTGTGCCAGATCAGTTCCTAACCCGAAGCATCAAGAGGCGCAGCAAAAACAAGAACAGGAGGTCATGCCAAAGTGTTGTGAGGGCGGGGCTGGAGGGCTGCCTGCTGCTTCGTTAGTGATGTGGGTTCATTAGTCATCAGGGTTGCAAGATCATGCAAGACACTTGGGGGGAGGTGTCCCAATCAAGCCCCAACAAAGCAAGAATGATGTAAGAATGAGAACCAGTGTGGCGTTGTGGCTAAGAGCATGGGACTGGGACTCAGATGATCTGGGTTCAAGTCCCCACTCAGCCATGGAGCCAACTGGGTGACTTTGGGCCAGTCACAGACTCTCAGCCCAACCTACCTCACAGGGTTGTTGTTGTGGAGATAAGATGGAGGAGGAGAATGATGTAAGCTGCCTTGAGCCCTTTGTAAGAAAAAGGCAGGATATACATAAAAAAATAAAATTAGGCAGGCCTTCATTTAGGGAAGAGAGATTGTGTGTGTGTGTGTGTGTGTGTGTGTGTGTGTAACCCTGAAATTTAGTTGCACACAAGATTACACAGCTGGGAAATTTGCTGATGTCATATGGGGAGGCATGTAATCCCGAGTGCTGCATCAGGCGGATGCAGAGGCCCCAGCCTGGGAATGCTAGCTGTTCTTGCTTGTGACGTGCTCAGCCTGGGCCAATCCTGGTCCCCACACTCACGAGGCCTGAAGGACCCAGGGCCATGCAACTTGGGGCGGCCTCGGCCAGTCACTCCTGCTCAGCCTGGCCTACCTTTGTGGTTGTTGCAAGTATAGCATGGAGCTGAAGATGCCTTTGGGTCCTCACAAGAGGGAGAGAAGCAGGGGGTGAATGCAGCGCAACAGCATGACGGCAGCTGGGCCAGCCCGTGCTGCAGAGGTGCTCCAGCTGGTGTGGGTGCACACGAGGCCGAGTCCCATGCAGAAGCACCCTTCCACCCCCTGCGGGAAACGGGCAGTGGGGATGTGATGCCTGTCTGTGCTGCCACCATCATGGTCCCACCCAGTCTCCTGTGGACTTTCGGAGATGTGCAGAGAGGCTGGCAGCCCGCTCCTCCCTTGCTTGGCTTAAGGCCTGGGGACCTCAGCAGGAGAGCCAGGGGTGCCCCACGCAGCTGGGGGGGATTCAAAAGGACCTGCAGCTTGCAGGCTGTGTGGGAGGCCTCTGGGCTCCGCTGCGCATGGGGGCGACCACAGATGCTGAGGCTGGAGAGGAGCCCTGCAAGGGCACCCGGCATACAAGGTGATCCGTAAGCTTCCCAGGGAGCCCTTGGGCAACGGGGCAGCACAGAAGGAACATGAAATAGATAAATGCAATCCTAGAAGAAGACCGTATTTTTCGCTCTATAAGACGCAACTGACCATAAGCCGCACCTAGTTTTTAGAGGAGGGATCCATGGAAAGCTTCCTGATAATCACAGGCACATTCCCCATCACTTCCCCATGGGCTTCATTAAAAGACGGGATGCCATTTGAAAACACACACCAGCCTGTGATTAACAGCTCTCACCTGCGCCGGAGGAAGGGGGCGGAGCAGGGCGCGTCGAGCGTGTGCCGGCCAAGTGTGGTGCAGCCAGGCTGGCAGCATGCTGGCGGTGGTCTTCCGGGTGGCGCGGCGGCGGCAGGTCTTCCCGGGTGGTGGGGGTGAGCAGACCGTCTCTCTGTGCGGCCGGCGGGTTAAAGTCTGTGGCTCCTCCTCCGCACACCTCCCCCTGAGCAGCACAGCTCTCACCTGCACCGGGGGGGGGGTGGAGCAGGGCGCGTTGACCGCGTGCCGGCCAGGTGGTGCCACGTGGTGCAGGTGGGCTGCCAGCGTCCCGGGTGTTGGGCACACACACATTCGCTCTCTAAGACGCACAGACATTTCCCCTTTTGAGGGGGGCGGGGAAGTGCGTCTTATAGAGTGAAAAGTATGGTAAGTCAGAAGGGATCTATCTATCAGGCCATCAAGGCCGAGCCCCTGCTCTGTGTAGGACTCCAGATTACAATGTCCTTGATAGGACACTATCAGACTGCAGCGTCCCTCTGCAGTCTGACAGCTTTTCAGGTACTGTGGGACCTTGGCTCACGAACTTAACCCGTTCCAGGACTCTGGTCGTGACCCAAATTGGTCATGAGCCAAGTCCAATTTCCCCATAAGGGTCAATGTAAAGAAGGTTAATCTGTTCTGCAAGTATTTTTTTTACTCACAAAAATTTGAAGCAAAGTGACTAAGAACAAAGATCGCAGCCATCCGCCTCCCCCAGCAATCATGCAGGGGGGTGGGGGGAGGCGGGCGTGATCATGGGCACGCTGGCGGGGGGGAGGCAGGCACACTCAGGCAGGGAGCATGGGGGCAATCACGGCCATCTCCCCACCCTGCCAGCACGGCCACGATCGCGCCTGTGCAGGGAAGGTGGATGTGCTCGTAATTGTCACCCGATGTAGAGCTCGCAACCTGTGGCAAAATTTTTATGAAATTTCTGTTCGCGACCCGATTTGGTCGTGAACTGAGGCGTTCGTGAGCTGAGGTACCACAGTATTGGAAAAATGCTCTGCTACACCCCCTCAGCCTTCTCTTCTCCAGGTGAAACAAGCCCAGTTCTTTCAATCCTTCCTCTCAGGGCTTTCCCTCCAGTCCCCAAATCATCCTTGTTGCCCTCCTCTTTCCTGCTCGCCTGCATCTTTCTTGAAGTGTGGTGCCCAGAACTGGGCGCGGTGCTCAAGATGGGGCCTGATGTGGGGAACCAGTACCTTGTGTGATCCGGCAGCTACATTTCTGTCAATACAGCCCAATATAGCATTAGCTTTTTTTGCAGCTGTGATAACATTGTTGGCTCATAGTTGTGATCTACAACAGTTCCAAGATCCTTCTCCCTTGTAGGGGGAATTGTTGAGCATAGTATCTCTCATCTTTGGACAGTGTGTTGGGTTCCCTTTTCCCAGGTATAGAACTTGGCATTTGTCCCTAATGAAATTCATTCTGTTATTTTAAGCTTATTGTCAAGATCACCCTGAATTTTATTTCTGTCTCCCAGGGTATCAGCTACCCCACCGAATTTTGTGTCATCTGCAAATCTGATATGCTGCTAACGGTGGGCTTTTGAAATCAGGCCCAGAAGATCCTAAAAGTAGATCAAGGGTTGGATGCAACTCAAGCGCTCCGGACTGCCCGCTTGTGTGTTAACTTGAGGATGCAGCTGAGGCCGTTTGGGGGCGTTGGTGGAGATAATTAGGATGCTGCTGGACAAGGAGTGGAGGGCAGGGGGTCCAACGTGCTGGTGGAATCCGGCTGTGCTTGAGCTGCAGGCCCCCTTCTCAAAGGGATGAGCTCAGCTGGCATGCGATCCCCACCGTGGGGCACCCATTTCCTTCTCTGAGTCTGTGGTAAAGGCTGCAGCTTCCTGGCAAACGGAAGTTGATGGTTTGAGCTGAAGAGGCGGCGTTTGCGCCCATCGTTGGAGTTGCTGGCTCTTGCGCAACATCCCTACTACTGCAGCCGTTGCAGGAAAGCAGTCTTAGGAAAGCGCTTCCTTGTCTAGACAGCGTGGCTGCTTTTCCGTCCTCAAAGCACAGAATGGAGAAAAGAGTGGCTGCTGGGAGGGCTTCTTTGAAGACAGTGCGGAAGCCGCAGCTTGTGCTAAACGAGGCACCCCAACCATGAACCAGGACGAGCAGGGCCCTGCCTGAACACCAGCGCTGGCTCTCTTGCACGAGCAGCCTACGTGCCACTGAGCACAGCACGAGGAGCTGCTTGCATCCGACCCAGCCCTGCAGGGCTTGGCCCACCATGCCTGGCGGAAAGCCTCTCCCAACTGCCATCTGCCCAGGTACTCCAATCCAGAGCTGGTGGCAGAGACGATGGCCCTCTCTGAGGGAGACTCAGTTGGTGGCAGTGGGAGAAGGAGCTTCTCAGTAGAAACATGGAAACAGAGCGAGTCAGAAGGGGTCTCCCGGGCCATCTAGTCTGACCTCCGGCACCAGCCGGCTCTGCTCACGAGATGCCCAGTAGGGGTGTCCCACTTCTGGAGATGCTCCCCGTTCAGCCTTGCCTGGCGTCAACCCTAAAACCTTTTCAGTACCAGGTTTAGACTCTCTTCTAGGGCAGGACATTGAATTCCCTTTAATATTAGATTGGGTATTATAATTGCTGCTTAACAGGTGTTCTGATTTACCTTGTGGTGCTTTATATTTTGCTTTAAATTCAGCTTCTAAATCTTGCATTGCAAAATTCTGTATTGTATTTCTATATGGAAATCATTCCAAACAGAATGCTTTATTTCTCATTGGGCACAAAAGCCCAAGGCTTTTTGCGAATGGGGGGGCATATAAATGTTCCAAATAAATAAATATTGACCCCAACCCACCCCAGTGAATCACAAAAATAATTCTAAAAAGTGAGAGGGCCATGCAACCCCTCTCTGGAGCCATCCCTTTTGAAAACGACACACTTGCTGCGGGTTGAATAGTCACTCAGTTGTAGAAATCCACTGGGGGCTTGTGCTCTGATATGGAAGATGCTCCAGCGGTGATTCACGGGGGTGAGAACTGTCTCTGCCGCATAGTTCAGCTGACAACGTGATGCTCTGATTTCGAAGAGCTGCTTCCTGCAGAGGGTCAAAACTCCCCGAAAGAAGGGGGAAGTTGGGCGTCACCAATGTAGATGCGGGAGTCGTGTGTGTGCAATTTCCTCAAACAACTGTCACCTTGCTGTGGGTGCAAGAGAATTTCCAGCACTGACATCACCCACTTCCTGCCCAGAATGAGATTAATCCTGTGCCTCTTTGCCACTCACATGGGCAAATCTGGCGGGGAGTTCCGGCCCTGATGAGAAATGTGGCCATGCTCCAAGGTGAGTGTGCTGGGTGACGTCAGAAACGCTGCACATCATTCCAGCAGGAGCGGCATGAAACCCTTGCATGGTGTCGCAGGGCTGCCCTTCTCACCCAGCTCAGTTGGAAAACGAAGTTCGCCAGGTGCTTGCTCTCTTTGGGGGCTGCGGGTAGAGCAAGTGTTCCCCAAATAAAGCAGATCCCAACAGCATAGTATTTAAATACACTGGAGGATTAACAAAGTAGCATGTGCTCCTTTGGCTCCGAGACTAAATTCTGCAAAAAATGATGGGAACCCGTAGCAAGGGAGCAGAATGCAGCCAGCGGTGGAGGAGCAGGCGGGAGCTGTGTGGGGAGGCAGATCTCGGACAAGGGGGTGGTTGGTGCGAAGCAAGCCCTTAGTAGGCGGCAACCTTTGTTACTGTCTTAACTTGTGGTGATCACAGTTTATGTTATTCACTTGCTTGCTTTTACATTTATAGGCCGTCAAACAGATCGAATGAACTCTCTAGGTGGCCTACAGCAATAACATGCAACCAAGCAATCACACTTTCATTAACAATAGCCGATTGATAATGCTAGCATATTAACATAGGCCAGATCAGTTTCAAGAAACACGTCCAGGTGAGATGGACAACCAAATACAAAAATACCTTGAAATTTAAGTATCTAAAAACAATGATTAAAATCAGCTATTAAAATGATTGGTTATTATCGGTTATTGGAACAGGAAGTGCCGCCATCTGGGCTAGTACCTTCCTGCAGCCACCTTTATGGGAGGGCCCTGGGTCAGGACTCCTGACCCCCGGCCGCTTGTCCCTGTGCAGTGTGGGAAGGGTGGGGGGGCAGCCCCATTCCATTTCCTCTCTCTCTCTCTGCGGCTGGTTTCCCAAATTGCAGCAGTGCCACTTGCCCAACCTACCTTTGAAACACGCAGAGGAAGTTTGAGGAAGTTCCTGGGCAGCCACATAAAAGTGCCGCACGCTCTGCAGCCGAGGCCAACTTGCAGGAGAATCTCGGAGCGGAGAAACCCTCTGAAGAGCAGCATTCAGGTACAGTCGGCCACGGCTTGGCAGGTGGGAGGTGGGAAAGAGCAGGCATTGCTGGCAGAGTGAAGAGGTGACTCATTTATGGGACTTAGATCAGGAGTTCTGTAGGAATTAAGACGACAGGCGCCTGGCTGGGCACTTACTCTGTGGCTCCCGTTTGAGCTGCCTCCAAATGCTCTTGGGGGCCTGGCTGAGGGGGTGGCTGGCTGGCTGGCTGGCTTTCTGCCGTTTCTTTGTAATCGCAAGGAACGCTGCACAGCAGCTTTTCAGTGCAAGTCTTCTGAGGGTCTGTCACAACGCGCACGTGTGTTGATTGCCGTGCTGTGGGCTTTGCAGGGCCGCGACAGCTGCATCGCCTGTTCTCTGGGAGCGGCAGTGCTGAGTGGAGCATGCCGCATGGAACTGGGTCGGCCCTGTTTTAACCGGGACCTTATTTGGTTACCAGCTCTCTCCTTCTCTGCAGGATCCCTCTCACTTGTGCTTTCTGCTTCTTCCACCCGAGGACCACCCATGGCCAGAGTTCCTGAGTGCGGGGATGTGATGATGGATCTCTGCAGGTAATCGGAGCGCACCCTTCCACTCAGCCCCAGTTTGGCCCCGTCGTGTGTCCTGGGTCTAGTTCTGGATGCCACAGTTTAAGAAAGAGGCAGGAGGATGTTCAGAGAAGGGCAACAAGGATGATCCAGGAATGGGAGGCAGTGCCCTGCGAGGAGCGGTGGAGAGAACTGAGCCTGTTTGGCCTGGAGGAGACAGGAGGGCACTTCCTGAGTACTTGAAAGGCTGCCAGGATCCCTTCTTGATCCTCCCAGAGTGCAGGGCACAGAAGAGGGGGCTCCAGTTCCAGGAAGCCGGAATCTGGCTGGACATCAGGAGAAGCTTCTGTGATGCGTGCCGGGCTAAGCCACAGGCTCCTTGTGGGAAAAGACGAGCCATACATTTAGCAAACAGAAATGATAAAAATGAATGGCACTAAATTAAGAGGAAGCCAACACACCAAGGTGCGGCCACACAAAAGGCCCTGCCCCGTGTGTCCGCCTCCCCCTTCTGCTTCAGCGGTGGGCAGTGCAATGGCTGCCCACGCGGATCTGCACCTCGCGGCAGGTCACCAGTCCGGCTGGCTCCAGAAGGGGGCCCCCAGAGAGCAACTGCACCGGGATGAGAGGAAAATGACCATGCCTTTATAATTGGTGGACATTCTCGCTTTTTGTTTATTGAGCGGAAATTGAATTTTTCTTTCTTGTAGGGTTGCTATTGAAGTTTAGCTGTTTCACTCTGCTGTTTTTAGTTTTTGGTAGGCATTTCTGACATATTAGCTGTCTTAGGGTGTAATTCTATGCTTGTTTAAATAGAAAAATGTTCCACAACTGTAGCATATTTTTTCTATTTAACACCTATACAATTGCATCCCTACTTTCTTAGCAGATAGGAATAGTTGAAATAACTAAAACAATCCAATTACTATATTAGTAAGACTATGTATGATCCGCAGTTGCTACCTAAAACCTGTGTGGTGGAACAGCTGTGATGTATTGTCAAAGTTCTCACAGTAGTCCTTTCTGGCATGCTTAAGCGCTCGATCTTTGATCCAGAGAAAGCCCCGCAAGCGCTGGAGAAGCCACTTCATCTTCAGGAGGCCTGAGAGCACATCGCGCTTCCGTGCTCACAGGCACCTCCTGAAGCTCTCCTGGCTGCTTTCCTGCCTGGTGGAGAAGCATTTAAATCCCCGCCAGTGGAGAACCTGGGATTCTTGAGCAAACACATTTCTAAGCTATGAAGCAATTGCACTCACATCCTCTGGTGCATGAAAGAGCTGACAGCAGGCGTAGCTTGATAAATGTGTGACGGGGACAATGATGGTCGCTCTAACGCTGCAGGGGCTGCTTCACCCTGTTGACTTGCTGTCTTGCTTGCTGGTTGCAGCCAGGATGAAATGCCGTTCTACGACCTGGACCAGCCCGCCTTGAAGAAGGTAATAGGGCCCATCCTGCCCTTTCGGTCGAAGTGAGGGCTGTGGGGTACTCCTGGCGGGGAACAGCTCAGAGGGAATCCAGTGGGGGTGCAGAGTTCCAGGGTGCTTGCTGGCAGCATCCTCCCGGAGGGCAGGGCCCTGGCCATCTGCCTGCAGCCAGCCATGCCTTCTTCCCAGGCTCCCGCCCTTCTTGTAGGGCCTGGAAAGGCGTTCCTCTCATCTTGCATGTGCTGCGTGCGTCGTGCTGGGGAGCAGGGGCCTGCCATGGGCCAACGGGGCTGCTCCCTCCGGGGCAGGGCTTCCGGGGTCCCCCATGCAGCAGGCCCTGTCGCAGGGGCTCCTGGACAGAGCCTGGGGAAAATGACCTCCCTTTGTGCCGGCCCCCCAAGCAGTCACAGGAGCACTTCCGAGGGCTCCTCTTGTCCTCAGGCGAGGCTGCCAGGCCCTTGGGCTTGGGCAGGAGCGGCCTCGGTCCCTTCCCTCTTGTCCCCAGGGTGGGCAGGGGCGGCCACAGCCCTCCTGGTGAGCACTGGCACAGCTCCCTGAGCAGTGCAGCAGCTTATCAGCAGGCCTCAGCTGGCTTCCGTTGTCCCCGCAGGAGGGCTTTTCCGGGCTGCGCCATCAGGCAGGCCTGCCCCAGGTCTGCAATGTGGGCATCCAGATGAGAGTCACACAGAAGCCCTCCCTCAGGGGCTTCCAGAAGGCCCTGGTGATCACAGTGGCAGTCGAGAGGCTGAAGAACTCCCGGACGGTTCAGCCCCGGCCGTTCAGTGATGACGACCTGCTGGACATCTTCAACTCCGTCTTAGGTATGGTAGGAGCCGCAAGCAGCTGGCGCTGGGACTCTGTAGCTGCAGCCACCTCCTTTCATCCCTGCCGTCACGGGCTGGGCTCCCACCCCCCGTTGCCCCCAGTAGGCGGCAGATCAGCCCGGGGAGCTGTCCTGCGCACTCCGGGCTGCTTCCCTCAAGGTAGCTTGTTCAGGGGTAGGAAGCCGCCCCCGGCAAGCCTGCCTTGTGGTTGGGTCTGTTGGCGCCTGTGTGGCTCCTCACATCTCCCAGGCTCGGCTGCCCAAGCAGCGCCCCAGGCTGGATGCCACTGCCTCAGCATCCCTGCCCACAGCATGAGCCCTTTGTGTGTGCTGCAGCACTCGCCCCACGTCGATCAAGTCTGGGGATGGCTTCCGCTGTCTCCGATTTGCAGAAACGGACCGGTCATGCTCTCAGACTATGTCACTGAGCTGTGCCCCGGCCCCGGCCCCGGCGCACACCAGGCCAAGAACAGGGTGCGATCTGCGTGCGTGGCCACCTAGGAGCAGCTTTGAAAGCCAGCGGCTCTGTCGCAGAAGAGCACTTCTCAGCCTGGAGCATATTTTCCTTTTCAGAACCGGTGGATGTCAAAACCTCCGAGTTCACCCATGCAGCCAATTCCACCTACCGATTCTCCGAAGATGTCTGCTGTGACATTCAGGACATCGACCACAAGTCCCTCGTCTTGCAGAAGGAGCCTCTGCGGCTGCTGGCCGTGCACCTGCAGGGTCCCAATCTCAGCCAGGCAGGCAAGTCCTCGTTGCTGCCCCTTTCCAGCCACGCCTGTCGCAGGCCAGCAGAAAGAGATCACTTTGCGGACTGGAATCGGCCCGGATGGTTAGTGGTTCTTGCCACTAACGCCATTTCATTTCCCCATATTTTTCAGTGAGGCTAAAGATGTCTGTTTATCGCCCAAAAACGGAGGCAGGCACTGGGAAAACCCCCGTTGCCCTGAGCATCAGGGGGCAGAATCTCTATTTATGCTGTGTGCAGAAAGACGGGCGGCCTGAGCTGCAGCTGGAGGTAAAGGGTTTCCTCTCTGTTGCTGGGGTGGCCGGGGCAACCTCTCCCTGGTGGGCCCTTGTCCCTTGAGGGCTTTGGGATGGGAGTCCTCTGCTGATGGAGAGCCATAGCGTAGCAGTCTGCCCCCAGCTCCTGGCCCTTTCTCTGCCCGCACTGCCCCTGCCCAGGCTTCCCCAGGGGGCTGGGCCCATGCAAAGACCCCCCTGCGCCTCCTGAGTCCAATGCTCTGGTGTGTTTGAGACTCAGAGCAGCTGCATGCAGTGCATTGCACACTTGCTTTATTCCGTGCAAAGCAACCACTTTTGTTTCCTGGGAAAATGGGAAAACTGTCCCAAAGAGGAAGGGCAGGGACTCAGGGCGTCACGGGGAGAAAGCCAGTCGGCTGCCCTCAGCTGCAGGGAGGGCGGGAGGAAGGCAGGCCTCTCGAAGAGACCTGATTCTTCTTCCTGAAGGGAACCCACATGTGCTGGGGTCAGGACAGGAATCTCTGGGAATGATGCGTGCCTGGCTGCACCATCAGGCCCCATGGAAAAGCTCTGCCAGTCTGTAACTTCATGAGCTTCCTCAGACTCAGACTGATCACGCCTGAAATGCGTGGCTGCAACGACTCCACGTCTTGCATCAGAACAAAGCAGCATTCAGACATGCTACTTCAGAAGCGCGAAGGGTTTCCTTTAGTGTGATCATCATCTCAGTTTTTCATCCACAGGAGGCCAACATCCAAGGGAACCTTGACAAATCCAAGCTGGGCCGCTTCCTTTTCTACAAAATGATCGTTGGAAAGCACACGAGGTTTGAGTCGGCCGCCTTCCCTCACTGGTACATCTGCACCGCCTCCAGTGCGGAAGAGCCGGTCGGCGTGACCAACCGGCTGGGGGAGGCTTTCATTGTGGACTATAAGGTCACAACCCATGGCGTGTCATGCTGAAGAAGCCTTGCGACCGGGTCCAGGGACGATCCGGGGCCTCCCGGGTCGGATACTTGACACGAGGCACCTTACAGGGGACCTCCCCTCAAGAGGCAACAGAAATCTCCCAGAAACTGATTAGTGCTGCGAGGCATTCCCTCGCTGGCCCTTCGTATTTAGAAGACATAACCTATGAAAAGGATAGCTGCCTGCCAAATTGTGCGTGCCGAGTTTTACTAAGGACAAGAGGGAGAGCAGCTACTTGGAATTTTATCAATGCAAATTTATATTTTTAATTTATTTTAATTTATTTTAATTTATTAATTTATTATAATATAACTTAATGTAATTTAACAACTTAATCGTTTTGCTAGTTTGTCCTGCTTATTTGAGTATGTTTTCTAGCAGAAATCAGAATGCTGCTGATAACCAATAAAGTCTTTGACGGCTTGCAACGGCTCTGTCTGGCTCTCTGGCGACCTCTTCTCGCGACGGAGCCCGCAGGGGAAGGGCGGCGAAGCCGGGCGTTCGCCTGCAGCAGCCCCTCGGCCGCCCTTGGAGGTGGCCCGGCGGCCCGCGGGGGCAGATCGCGGCGGCACCGGGGCCGAGCAGGCGTCCCGGGAGCGGCGCGGGCGACGGGGCGAGCAGAGGCGCCGCTTGCTCCCCAGGCGCGCATCCCGGAGCGAGGGCGTGCGGAGCCGCGGGGCGCGCCTTGAGCCTCCGCCGCGTTCAGAAGGGGGCGCGATTTTCACGTGTCTTCTCCCGGGTTGCCGAGGCACCCGCGGAAGCCGAGCGCGCGGATTGGCTGCAGTTCCCCAGCTCCGCCACGAGAGGGCAGCGGCCAGCCGCGGCGGAGGCCAGCTCAGCCGGACTCGCGGCGCATCCCGACGTGCCCGGGGGCAGTTTGCGAGGCCGCTGCCTCTTTCGGTGCTCAGCCCCACCGTGGGCGTCCTGCCGCTCGCCACTCCGGGATTATCGAATAAGCCGCGGGCACAAGCGGCAGAGCACGTGGGGAGGGTGGACGGAGGCGGTTGCCTTTCCCCAAGAAGCCGGAAGTGCAGGCAGGAGCGGCTTCGCTCCTGAACAGCGGTGCTCGCACGACCGTGTGCATGCTGGTCGCTGCAAGCGGAGACTTGCATTTGGGCCTGATCCTGGTTGAGGAGTGCATTTCTCGCTCTGCTTCTTCTGCAGACGGAAATCCATCGTGGAGATGGACTTGCTTCCAAAGAGCGAGCGAGCTGCTCCCGCCTCAGCCGAAAGGTTTTCTGCAGACGTTCCACTGGGTTTCCCCTTAATGGATTTTCTGCGAAAAGGTCAAAGGAGCTGTGGGCAAACTTGGGGGCTCATGAGTGGAAGTTGCAAGCGTGTGGAAGCCCCTTGAAATCCTCTGAAAGTGGCGGGGCAGAGGCAGGTTAAAAGCCCCCTCCGGTGGTTCCCGGGGGGAGAATCCCCGGGCACCCCCAGTCCAAGGGGGAGGGGAAGCCCGGCCTCCCACCCCCCTGCCCCCATGGCACCTTTCAGGACTTCCAGCTCCTAGGCTGCCGCCGTCCAGATGCCAGCTGGACAGAGCGTGTGGCGACAGCGACATGGAGCAGCAGCGCCTGGAAGTAGGGGGGTCTGGGGGCAAAGCAGGTGTGCCCACTGCGGCTTCATGAGCTCTAGTCTTGGAAGAGACCTCTGTTTGGAGAAAGGAGCTGGGCTGAAGTTAAAGCAAGGGCTAAGATTCACAGCTTTCACGTGTGTTCATCTGAACTTAGTGTGTGTTTCAACCATTTCTGGGTAAACAAAAATCAAAGTAAGTTAAACGGCGTCTGTTGGGAGGCAGGAATTTGGTCCACCGTGGAGGCTTGTGCCTTACAGAGTTTCTGCTGCCTGTCAGAACCACAAAAGCGGTGTGTGTGTGTGTGTGTGTGTGTGTGTGTGTGTTGGCGGGGTTGTGCACCCAGGATTACCTTCCCTGGCTCATTCACAATGGATCCAAAGGCATCTTACTTATCTCTTCCTGATAATATATGGAGCACTTAGCTAGTTCTGTGTTCAGCTGGGACCTGTTATTGAACCGAAGTAAATTGTCTCCTTAATAACAAAAAATCAATTATCAGCTGGCTTCCTAGGAGAATATTTTTCCACCTTTAGACAACAAACAGTCATAGCCTCAAATCCCTCTCCCCCCAAGAAGGGAAAGAACAGACTGCTGACACCGAGCCAAAGAAACATGAAACGTGCGAATCAGAGCCGCGCAGATGAAGCCCCCTTGCTTATTCTCCGCAGGTGGCAAGGGCGCAGCCATGGTATTTGCTGTGGCTGCTGGAGGGTGAAGCACCTGCCTGCATTTGCCTCTCGGCCAGAATGCCCCGGGATCCACTGCTGGGACAAAAGGGAGGCCTCCGACTTGGCACACGCTGAAATTGCTTGCTTGATAGATGGAGGGCAGCCTGGGCAAGAGACTAAACTGCATCATGAAGAAAGTGTACAATTCGACTCCCCAGAGAAGACAGTCGTGTCGAGGAAAGTCAGGCAGAGGAGGACGCCCGCCGGCCTCGGGTGTGCAAGGCTGAGTGGGGCCCCCAGGACAGAGCATTCTGGAGGGCTCTCGCTCGGAGGGTGGCCCTTCTCAGGGATGACTTGACATCTGCACAAACCAGCAGATGCACCTGCTAGGCACCTGCTGCCTTCTCCTTTCCCGTGACTCAGTGGCGTAGGGTTGGGGATGGGCCAGTGCTCTTGGAGCCCCTTCTGAGGTGGCTAATACGCATTCAGTTTGACATGCGAAGCCGATACTGAGATCCCCGGATAAGTTTGTTATTTATTTATTTAGGAAGCTTCTGTGCCGCCCCATTCGCCGAAGCCTTGGGGCGGCTCACGACAATAAATAAATAATCACAATATAAAAGTTCTCAGAAGCATGCCCTGCTGTTCTTTGCCTTAGGACTTTATGATAAGAGATTTTAGTATTTAATATTTAGTTTCAGTATGCAGTATTCTGTGATTAGGTGACAAATTTCATGCCACATTCCTGACCAGGTAGGACTGTGCAAATTGCACACCTACAAATTCTCTGGTATTAGTATGCTTAGTTTGTAGGTAAAGGACTCTGAGATCAAGCACATCTTTTTATCTTTTTCTTTAAAAATGTGGCACAATTTCTGCATGGTTCAGCTCTGAAATAAGAGCATTTTACACAGGAAAACACATAGCAGGCATAAGCAGAACACATTTCAAAATGTTCAAAGTTTAGTTCCAGGAGATTTAGTTCCTTTCACTGTCAAGATTAATGCTTTTTTCAGCCAGTAACATTTCTGAGCTGAAGCAAAAAAGAGCAGAGAAATGAGTGAGAATCAGTGCCATTTTCCTCCTGATTGTTCCATGGTTTTTGTTAGCCTTGCTTATCTGAGTCAGCTCATAAGAACAGTTTCTGTTTGGTTTCACTTCTAAATCCCCAAGCATGATTTAGGCGGATATATAGGGAGAGATTCTATTTATCTTGCTAGTTTTATCTGAGCCACATTTCCCTTCAACAGCTGTTTCCCCTCATTCCACAGATTTATTGTTTTGCTATTTTAATCTGAAGAGTTCTTACTTTCAGTTTGGTATGCTATTTTGACTCCTTGCTATTACCAGAGATACAGACTTGGTAGGTGGTAGGATAGAAACTGACAACAGTTAACAGAGTTATTTAACTTGCTTTTAATTTTACCAATTTGGAGGCGTTTGGGAGAAATTGTGCCTTATACATACAGAATCACAGCCTGGAAAGACAAAATGCATGCACAGACAACTGCTTTTACAAATGCCTATTCATTTGCATAATATTATTGAAGAGATCAGTGTGGAATCATGCATGTCCCAGCTTATCCCTTCAGAGAATTAAATGACATGCAAATCTGTTTTCTTCTCACTGCAGTTGACTCTCTGGCTGGGAGTTGGCAGTTTTGTATTCCAGTATGCAGCACCCACTTGCACCGATTTTGATGGAATTATCAACAGAGAAATAATATGTGGCTGCCTGATAGAAAATGCATATCTCCCTCTCTTTCCTCCCTGCTCAGTTTCAGCCTAGTTTGAGCTCACAGCCAGAAAACCTGCTTTGCATGCAGAAAGTCCCAGGTTTGGCCTCGGCCTCCAGTGAAACGTCCTTACACTTGATGCGCTCCTCCAGCTGCTTCCCTGCTGTCCCTCCAGGTGGCCGTCTTCTTCATATTTCTTGAAGAAGCCTCCCGTTGAACTCGAGATAGGTGAGATCTTCTACAGTTCCGATGTCCTCATTATCAGCAGGAAAGTCTTGTGTCTTCTGTGGACACAATTTCTGTTTTCTTAGCATTCAGCTGCAGTCCTGCATTCGGCTCTCCTCTGCCGCTTCCCTCAGCCCCTTTGGCCGCCTCAGATGAACTGGGATCCTCAGCCGGAGGAGCAGCTCACATTTGAGGTGCTTGCACCTTCCTGGCAGCAAGCGATGCTCCCGGCCTTCCAGCCAGGTTCTCTTGGTGCTTTGGGAGAAGAGGGAGAGCCGACATGGGATCTGAGCAGCCCTTTTCCAAGTGGCCTGCCAGCCTCTTCACGGAGCAGCTGGTCCATCATGCCTCTGCCCTCTTTAGTTTTGAACTTAACTCAAGGAGCCCATTTAGCTGCTCTTAGCAGCCCCATCAGCCCCAGCTCATTCCAAGCTGGACGCTTCCTCTACTTCTGGGCTTGCTCCGTCCCTCCTTCTACTGCCTGTAGGGACCCTTTCTCATTTTCAGACAATTGGCAGTTTTTTGTGTAGCTGCAAAAATGCCCCCCCCCCCCCGCAGGATTCGAATTAAATGATCTGTTCTCCTGATCAGACTTGCAATTCTGTGGGCAAACATGTCTCTCCCAGGCTTCTGAATGTTCTGTCTTCTCAGCTGGGTTTCTTTCCTATTCAGAGCTCTGGATAGGAGCTATCTTTCCTATCTGCCTGCCCCAAAACATTCCCTTTCTCCAAGAAATGATCCCTTCTCTGGGGCAGCCCTGAAAATCAAAGCCAAGAACTTGCCTGCTGGGGGTGGGTGAGTTATATGGGCCTGAGCTTGGCAGGAAGCGCACACATTGTGGTTTGGGGTTACCTGTGTGCTTCACGCGGCTTCCATCCTCCCGCCAACATCGGGCAGCAGGCTTCACTCCAGGGCGGAGATGCAGGCTGTTTCCAAGTCCAGACAGTCATGGGACTGCGGGAAGAAAAAAGGCAAAAAGCAAAGGCCTGCTGGAATGTGCTGCTCCCGAGAGAAACCAGCCTCCAGAGCAAGGAAGAGCAGGTGTCTGGAGGCCGTTTTTTCTTGAAGACTTTGGCTATTAGTAGGTTCTTTCTGATAAGGATCTTCCCAGCAAGGGATCCTGCCCACCCTGCCCTTGCCTGATAAAATGCATCCCAGGGCATCTTCCTGCTCCTCGGGACCTGGAATGACTGTGCGGCTGATCCTTTTAGCTCCCGGT